ATATCAATGTTTCTCTTAAAGCAATCAACTGTGATAAGTTTATTTACTGGCAATCGCTTAGTCTGCCCTCTCTCTCTCTCTCTCTCTCTCTCTTTCTCTCTAGTTACATTTTTGCTGTTCATGCTTAAACGCGCCGCCAAAGAGTCGAAGTAATAATACTCAAATAAAACATTTACAGGCGCAGACGGCGAAAAACTGCAAATGACATACCCTGTTATATAGCGTTTGGCTAAGTAGGTGGGGCAGTGTGGTGGTGCGGTGCGGTGTCCTTGTTGTTGCGGTGTCCACAAAACAGCGTCGAGTTGAGTGAGTCAAGTGGAATGTGAAGTGCAGAGGCCGTCGCCAGGGGGAGAGCAGCTAAAGAGGAGCACGGTAGTCGCAGCCAAGTGCACTTCATTTCGTTTCCCCCTCATAAATTCAAACCGAAAAATTCGTGCACGGTGGCGCTGCGCAGCGGGGGCACAGCATGAAGTGCACTTGAAAACAAGCTGCCTACAGAGCACACACACTCAGACACAGACACACGCGCACAGTGTGGATTAGTTGCAGCTACTGTGGTTAAGCGTTGCTCTAGAAACTCTAATTCTGTTGAATAGAGAAAAATAAATTTGGAAAATTTCAAATAATCAGCCAAGAGACTGGAGTTTGACAAGAGCATAGTTTAAGAATTGCTATAAAAATTAACAAAATTTAAGATGACAGAAATACCTTTGGGCCCCACAGTCTCGCTGCTGCAGCTGTTGACGTCGTGCTTCGCGCAGGTGTCTGTGCGTGTCTGGTAGGAAATTTAGTTGCCTCAACAAAACCGCAAATGCGACAAAAGCAGAATGCAATTCGCACTTGAAACTGAAAAGCGAAAAACAACAACAACAACAATGGCAATGGCAATGGCAACTGCAACTGGAGTAGCAACAGCAACAACAACAACAAAGCGCATTGTGGTTAAGAGAGAAAAACTTTGCTAGCAACTTTAGCCCAGGCGGCAGCTGTTCCTGCTCCTGCTCCTGCTGCTGCTGTTGTTTTTTTTCCAAGAGGTTTTCCCAATTTGCGGCGGAAAATGAAAATTTAAATTTTTAAGCAACGCAAACGTCGACGAGCGAAGTCTGCCAAAAAGTTGCTCAACAGTTTCCATTTTTTTTTTTCACTGTTTGTGTTGTTGCTTTTGTTGTTTTATTATTTTCATTTTCCGCTGCAGCTGAAAAATTTCACACATTTCCCACAGCGCGTTGCCGTGTGCCACTCTCCAAATGCTCCATTTGCCTGTCGTTTCTCTTTTCTCGTTGCTTCTTCTTCCTCTACTTTTTTTGACCTGCATCTTTTCATCAAGCAAGTCTCGACACGCTGACATTTTGCAATTTTGTCAAGAATTTTTTGTACTCTTTTCCTGGGCTTTTCAGCTGCTAGATGCGATGCTTTTCAGTTCACGCACTCGCCTCAATTTAATATAATGAAGGACAGGAATCCCTCATATTGTTTGGACTGGCCAAACGGAACAGAGCCGGGCAATCATCAACACCGGGCGAGGAATGCACAGGCGACATGAGCTGTTGCCAGCACCAACAGCTGCAGATGCTGCCAGCTGCGTGCTGCGCGCTCTGTTGCATGCAACAAATGCCTCAAGTGCATAACTGCTGCCGCTGGGGGTCCGTCAGTCCGGCATAAATCACTGCATTCGCTTGTTTGCAAGGGCCTGCCCGTCCGCCTCGCTCCTCCTGCTGCGTATGTGCTCCATGGCTAATCTGTGGTTGTGGCTTGGCTGCCCGTTCACAGCCCCCTTCCCGCCCCCAATGACCTGGCTGGCAAATGCAGCTCTTGTTTGCCTTCTACTTTCACTGTTGGCCACACACTTGGCTCCATTAAAAAATAGCTTCGCTTCGCTTTTGGCCAGTTGGGGCAGGGGGCAACGGTTTCCTTTGGCAATTAATTTGTACTCATTCAAAGGCATTTTTAATTACCTTTCCACACGAAATGCAGCACTTTTTGTTGGTGTGCAACGTTGATTTTCGCACCTATATAAATGTATGCAAAAGCTGTCGTGCCTCCCCCCCGCGCTCGTGCATTTATTTTATTACTGGGTCAGCCCAACGGACAAACAGACAACAGACAAAGAGATAGCATGTGTTGATAGCTGTGTTTTATTGCGCGATTATATTAATGGCAGCTAAGTGCAGCGCAGCAATTGCGATTACGCCCAAATGCAGCCGGGAGTTGCCTTTCAGCTGCACAAACTCGCAGAGCTCCAGTCCGTTGACTTTTGCCTTCGGCATCAGCTGAAGAGCAACTGAGCGGCAGCTCTGCTACAAACAACTTTCGTTGTTTACTTTCGTGTTCGAATTCTGAACAAACTTCGTAACTCTTGTAGCGAGCCAATGCTTGAAGTCGTCCCCAAAAACGAGAGTGAAAAAAAAACTCGGAGAGAAAATGAGTTGGCGCAGGCGCAGAAATCGTCGGAGTTGAACAAGTTCCTAAAGAGTTCAGCTGAGAGTTTCGAAAAGTGTTTTATAAGAGTAAAAAGACTTGAATGAAGTTTGTGCTTAGACAAGGCATCAGCCAAAGGCCTTGGCACAGCCTCTGATTGCCTCTGGCATAGAAAAAGTAAAAGTTGTGTTTATATAGATAATAAATAGAAATTTAATGCATTTTAGCATGCTGCAATAAAAACTAGAATTGTGATATATGTATATAGCTAAAATAAAAATATATCTCAATTCCTGTGAATTTCTTCTTTTTTTTGTCAGCTTTGGCATTCAACAATAAATATTTTGCCATAAAATATATCTCAGCTAAAAGCAAACTATTTTAAAAGCAGACTAAACGGAATTTCATGCCAAAAATAAGTTGATTGTGAAAATTTGATTGATTTGGCAAAGAAAACTAAGCACGATATGAATCATAAATAGATTTTCAGAGAAAGCTCATTGAATGGCTTAATATGACATGCGAAAGTCGGCTAAGCCCTTATTAATCAAGCATATAATTGACATACATATAGTCAGATATGTTACACAGATCATGCCAGCTCAGTGAAGCCAACAGAGCGTGAGAGGGAGAGGGAGAGGGAGAGAGTGATAGGGGACGGCATGCAGTGCAGGTTACCAAATACTCAAATTCCACATGGAGGCGAGCAGACGAGCGTAAACAAAGATTCATTCGATTTTAATTAACAGAAATAGCAAAGCCATGAAAATGGACCATGGATAAAAAAAGAGAGTATGCAGCAATGTATGCAATGCTTATATATATGTCTGTGTGTGTGCATTGCCAGTACATAATGCAGTCAATTTTGCTTTTTTGGTCGATAAGTCAAAAAATGTTTGTTGAATTTTGCTTTGCTTTGGCCTTAGCTTAAATTTCTGTGTTGGCCTTTTTGCTTTGTTGTGGGTAATTTCTTTATGCGCGCAGCGTACACAGCTTGATTTGTGGCGCTTTGTCTTAGCTGCCCCTCTCAGGGATAAAACGTGAAGGTTGCCCCTGTGCAGCCACCGTGCACGTAAGCCGTGTGAAAGATATGTATGTGCGCCCAGCTCGGAGCTAGGCGATTCTCGCTAGCGACACACGCACACGGACGAGGTCAATTTCATGCAGCACACACACACAACAACAGCAGCAACAACAACAACATTGAGAACTTCTGCTGTTTGGCTGCATGTAGGACACGTACTCCTTTGCGCGTTGCCTGCTTTTCTTTTGATGCCGCACGACAGGTGCTCAGTTGTAACTAAACGTCCGTTCCAGCTACACCATGTATGTGTGTGTGTGTCTGTCTCATCTTTGCCAGCTCTAGCACACACATCAGATGGGCAGCTGTTAGACGGTCACGTTTGCCCAGGCCGTAATTGATAGTTCAATCTGTTGCAGATCAAACGCTTGACAGCAGCCAACAGATCAAGCTGAAAAATTGCCTTGCAGCGGCAATTGGCTTTAGCCATTTAAGCAGACGAGTATTTATGAATTTTCAGTTAAAGCCATTTGGTTGCTGCGCCATCTGTTAATATACTTGGGCCAAAAAGCTTCTCTCAGCCGCTGCAATTCAATTTCTGCAACATCTTTATTTACAATTCCTTTCAAACTTCCATTCAATTTCTATAGAGTTTCAGCACGTGCTCAAACGTGTTGCACTTCGCTTTTCACAATAAATAGAAACTCAACTAAAGCCGTGCATAGATTTATGCTTTTAGCTTATTTGCAGCACAAATGCTATTGCATTTTTCCAGAACTTTTCGGGAAAATAAGTCTGCTATTGGTTAGCCAGCGCTGTGCTGCCAATTTTGTTTACTGCTCATGTTTTGTCGCTTTATTTTAATGGCTGGCGCGTTGAAGTCCTCGGCTTCATTTATGTTTATGCTCGCATTTTTTATTTGTGTAATTCAAGCGTCGAGTGGCGCTCATAAATTCAGCTGCTGAGAGGTCACGTTGTCTCATTAAAACAACAACAGCAATAAGTGTAATAACAAGAGCAATAAGCACAACACACACACACACACACACACATACACCTTTATACACATGTCAACAACGCGCAATGGGAATAAAAATGTTTTACCTTTACGTGAAATAATAACAAGTTGTATATAATTTATAAAGACTTTAAGCAATCTGCTTTGAAATTGACTCAAATTCATTCAACATCATAATAATTCTCAATTGATAATCTCAAGTATAATCGAATCAATTAACCACTCGTAAGTGATTATTTTAGTCTATGACTAAGCACAAGGAAGTACTCAATGAAGTACCTAGAGATTATTTCTTGATATTTGCAAACATTTTCTTGGAATATACAGCCGGCTCTACGAGATTCGAGATATTTACCCACATACTTATTTATTGATAAGCCCCAAATCATATTCACTTGAACTGCTGCTAAAGTATTATCAATTTAAATAATTGAATATAGCTATTATCTTATCAGTTCTATTAATGACGACTTTTATCTGACAGAAACTTCATAAAGTGAATAGATTTGCCAGGGTTTAGTTTAGTCTCGAAAATATCGTTAAGCAGTGAGCATAGCAAAAGAGAAAATCAAACGAGAAAGAAGGAAAGGCGAAGAAGGAAAAGAACTAACAAAAACCTATTATTCTATAGAAAATTCGTATAATGAAAGGTAAATTTTATATTAAATTAAATTCAAGTGTTTTTCTCGGTTTTCATAAGATGCTTTTCCCTGATTTTCCAGCCAGCACATTTGATTGGCTGCCAGTGCTGTTTCTGCTGCTGGCCATGGCTCTGGCCTTGCGCAGCGAGCCGCGGCACGCGACTTGCGACAATGAGCAGCGGTACGAGAATCAGGTGATGTGCGCGGGCGTGCAATTCGGCCACAGTGCACCCTATCCGGACAACTGCAGCTTGTTCCTAGTTTGCGATTGTGAATACCCCACTGTGAAGATGTGCCCAGCGCATTTGTGGTGGAATAATAAAACGCAGATCTGTGACTGGCCACAGAACACGAAATGCATTTACTACGACATCCCGACAACAACCGGCGCGTACAGCCCTACTTCAACTCCTACTCCATTTCCGGTGGCAAACAGTACGCAGGAAAATCGCCCAACAACTGAGGAGAATTGGCCCACATCGGACTATGATCCTCCACCGCCACCACCGGGCATTGCGGAATCATTCTGCAAGAATTTCAAGGATGGTTCGGTGCATCGTTATCCATACGATTGCAATGCCTATATCAATTGTACGCACGGCTGGCCAGTGCTGAACTATTGCGATTATGATAAGGTCTTCAATCAGCTGCTGTGCATTTGCGATACGCCAGATACCGCTCACTGTGAGCCACTGCCATTGCCGTCATCGACGACAACAACCACAGAAGAGCCAACAACAGTACCAACAACAATAACCACAGAAGAGCCAACAACAGTACCAACAACAGTTTCAACAGAAGAGACAACAAAAGCAATCACTGAAGAGCCGACAACACGACCAACAACAACAACCACAGAGGCAACTTCAACCACTGAAGAGGGCGAGTGTAGCCCACCGCCTCTTGGCATTAATGAGGATTACTGCTACGATTTGGGCAACGGCTTCTACGAGTATCCCTACAATTGCAGTGCGTACATTACGTGTCGCAGTGGTTGCACCAGCATGGCCTATTGCATACCCGACAAGCTCTTCAACCCGCTGTGGCACATCTGCGATACGCCCAATTCGGTGGACTGTAGACCCAAGCCATATCCGACAACGACAACGTCAGCAACAACAACGACGGGTGGCGGCAGCACTGGAGACACCAGCAGCTCGAGCAGTGGTGCAGAGACAAGCACAACGCCAGTGCCCACAGAAGCCAGCAGCACCACAATTGCGACGACGACAACGCCCGCATTGCCGGCAGATGTTAATCCCAATCTGTGCAAGGACAAGCCAGACAACTTCCTCTTTCCCTATGCCGCCGACTGCTCGAAGTACCTGCAGTGCAAGGACCATCAGGTGATTGTGGGTCAGTGTGCTCCGACGCTGCTCTTCAATCCCGTTCTGCTGATTTGCGACTCTGCCGAAGATGTGGACTGCGAGGGCGATCGCAGCACAACGCCTGTCACCAGCAGCACCACTGATGCGCCCACAACGCCAACGAGCAGCACAACCACCGTGACGACGACGCCCGCTACCACACCTGGGCCAGCCGAGCTGTGCGCCACTGAGCCCCTCGGAACCTCATATCCGTACGAGCAGGATTGTGAATATTACATTCTATGCCTGGGCGACGGCGAGTTCTATATTGCCAGATGCATTTCGAATACATACTTCGATCCAAAGACGGGTGAGTGTGGCCCGAATGTATCGCCGACAGCTTGCAGGGAGCAGGATGCGACCACAACCACAACGGCAGCAACAACAACAACAACAACAACAACGACGATGACAAAGACAACAACGGAAGCTGTCAGCACCATTTCGACACCTAGCACTAGTGTGGCAACAACGCCCCAGCCATCGGGCGGCATATGTGGCAATAAGGATGAGGGCGAAATGATTGCCTATCCGAACGATTGCAGCAAGTATATTGTCTGTGTGTCGCCCATTCCGGTTGGCTTCTACTGCACGCCCGGCTCCTACTTCAGTGCCCGGCAGCAGCAGTGCGTGAGCTGGGAGGAGAGCGACTGCGACAAGGAGACGGCCACAACACCTGGCTCTGGCCACACCCAGGCACCCTTGGAGCCGACCATGTGCACGAACAGCACTCGGGACACGTTCCCCTATCCGGACAACTGCCAGTGGTTCATACGCTGTGTCAACGATTACATCTACATGATGGATGTGTGCAACTGTGGCGAATACTACGATCCGATAAGCGGCAAATGCGGTGCTGACGTGCCATCGGATGCCTGTCGCTGGGACTACACCTCAACAACAGCGGCAACAACAACTGAGACAACGCCGGAGCCTACACCACCCGTCACCCGTCCACCGCCACAAAAGGGTCCGTGTGACGGAGCAGCCGATGGCGAACTGGTGCCCTATCCCAACGACTGCTCCAAGTACATCAAATGTGATCGCCCCATTGCTGCCGCCTACGACTGCGCCGAAGGCGATGAGTTCAGTCCGGAGCTGCGTAAGTGTATGGAGGCATCGCTAGCCAATTGCAACGTTGGCACAACACCCAGCTGGCCCGGCTCAACAACTACCGAGATATCTACAACCTCTGAGACTTCCCCAACAACCGAGCCTTCCACAACCACCGAACCTTCTACAACACCCAGTCCTTCCACAACCATCGAACCATCTACAACTCCAAGTCCTTCCACAACCACTGAGCCTTTGACAACCACCGAACCTTCAACAACCACTGAGCCTTTGACAACCACCGAACCTTCAACAACTCTCAGTCCTTCCACAACCACTGAGCCTTTGACAACCACCGCGCCTGCCTCAACTCCCAGTCCTTCCACAACCACCGAACCTTCCACAACTATCGAGACTTCGACAACTCCAGAATCTTCGACCACTTCTGATATACCCACAACTATTGAGCCACCCACAACAACCACCAGCAGCTCCAGCACAGCTCCAGAGTCAACAACCACAGAGCAGACGACAACGCCAGCGCCTTCAGGCGGCATTTGCGGCAATAAACCAAATGGAAGCCTTGTTCCATATCCAAATGATTGTGAAAAATATATTGTATGTCAAGAGCCCATACCCATTGGCTATGATTGTCCCGAAGGCTTGGAATTCAGCCCCACAGAGCTGCAGTGTATGGATCCGGAACTGGCCAACTGTAGACCAGAACCCACAACGGCAGCAACAACAACTTCTCCAGCTACTCCAACTACTACGCCTGGCACTACCGTGTCTACCACTACAGAAGTTCCTTGTAATACTTCTCGGGATACTTCCAGTACTATAGTACCCACTACAACTCCAATTACTCCAGACACTTCCAGTACAGCAGTCGATACTACTAGTCCGAGTACTCCAGAGACTTCGAGCACTACCACAACGCCAATCACAACCGAGATGCCGTCAAGCACCACGTCTGAGACAACGCAGCAGACCACAACTTCAGGACCCACAACAATACACCCGGATACGCCAAACATATGCTGCGGTCATCCGCTAGGCACCATTTTGCCATACCCGAACGATTGCAATCGCTATGTGGTCTGTGACTATCCGATACCCTATGCCGTGGTCTGTGAGGAGGGCACGCTGTTCGACGTTGAGTCTCTGCAGTGCAAAGCCAACGAAAATGCGAACTGTATATTTGTAGAGTATTGAATACAAACTATTCCACACTCAAATGTTTAGTTCCTTTTTATAAACACTTAAAAGCAATCATAAATATAGAGAATGCTCATATATAATGCAGGATATGGGCCTCTTACATTTAGTACTGGCTTCCCCACTTTGCGAATCAATTATCTAAATGCACAAATGCAAATCCATTTCAGTCGCTTTAACGGCCACTTTTAGGGCCTCTGAGACAGGGTGGGGCGGGTATCAATTACACGTAAACCCTTTTTAAAAGCATTGCCATTACAAATCCCACACAAGAACACGCACACACACACACACACACAAAAGAAAAAGATAATTTGCCACTTAATATCTAGTCCCTAGAAACAGGCGCGCGACAAGCAGGAAGCCCCACAACATAGACAGGAAAGCGGCAGGGACATTTTTAGCAACAGGCTAACAGCAAAATTGGACTCGTATACGATAATATCAGTTACAAGTTTCAGCAATTTATCGTTGTTTGATTTTGCCAAAGGCTCCGAGCCCCGAGTCCTCATGTTCTTACCTAATCCGATTTTAAGTTTGGCCACATGTACTACAATTGGCTAAGGAATTATATTTGGGGCGGCCAAAGACAGTGAAGTGTGTATCTAGGGGATGGCAAGAGAGGGGAGAGTGACAGTGGGAGATGGAGAGTGTAAGGAGCTACAGAATAAAATAGAAATGTTGTGTGACAACAACAAGGAGGAGACAAATAAACACATTTGGAACAAATTGTTTGGCAATAATGTTAACCTAATGCGTTCCATTTGTCGCAATTCAAACGATAGACACGCTTTGCGCTTCAAGTGATTTGTTAACTCCCCTGGGGCTGGCACGAGCCACTGTGCAGAGTCTTGGCCTTATCGGCGAATGGGCCATCAGTTTTGCGCCAGGTATCGTATATGCGTTCTCCACTGTTGCGCATCAAACAATTTGGCAGCACTTGGCTCTCTTCCAGATCAATTGCCAATTTACATAGTCCGATTGCAGCGGCATTCTTCATAAATCGCAGCTAGAAAACAATTTAGCTAAACATTTATTTACGCTCAGATTTTGAAGCGAAGCCAAGTTTCAAACGCTGCCTGGATATCTGGGCGACGAGCCAAAGTCGCACTGGGCGTATGCTTAATGAGAATGTAAACATGCTAGAAATGGCAGAAAGTGGCTGAATCTGAGCCGAAATAAATCTCACTCAACTGCAACATATCCTCGTGCAGTATTTTGATTTGAATTTCCTCTAAAATGGCAAATCGCAATAATTACATAAATTTGACATGTTATTGCAAAGGCAATGAGAGCAATGTATGAATGCATTCTGTCAGTTAGACAGCTTGTTAAGCTTTGATGCAAAGTTTAGCCAGAGCTGCGCAGCGTCCAATTAGCGAATCGAAATGAAATGTTCATATTCCATGCGCCAAGCGAACCAGCAACGAACATGTTTGGGTTTATGAAACTTTTGCTCTGCATATTAATGTGCGATTCCAACCATTTATGTAAAATGTATTTTATGCCACCCGCGAGAATTCAACGAGTTGTGCAACAGTTTAGACAGCAGCACACACACACCCTCTCTCTCACACACACACCCATTCATGGTTAGCTGAGCTTTTAGCCCTTTCGGACATAAAATATTGAATATCTAAGTTGGTTTATAAAAATACAGCACTGAAAACTGGCAATTCAATTCGATATTTGCATTTAAGCAAATGCCATGAAAGCATTTGCAAAAAAGAATCAAACGAAATGCAAAAAAGTAGCATTCCAAAAACAAGGGGATTTATGAATTTATTGACAAACAAGTAAGAAAGCTCTAGTCGAGACTGCTCGACTACGAGATCCCCTGAAC